ACACAGCGTCATCTAGACCTAATCAACGAACTTGTATTATAAATACTAGAGTACTAGACTACATGCCATTTTTTTTATAAATACAATATATACAAAAGAATAACGAAATGATTACAAAGCCACATCCATGAATATTAAAATATGTATTAAACAAGAATCAAACCTGTAACTACGAACATTTGACATGCTACTTAAACCGCTACACCACCGAGGTTGTAGAAGACAACAACTTGAAAACTACGATAAGCGTTTTTGGTTAGCAACAACAGATTTATGACAATTAATTTATTCATCACGGTTGATAATTAATGAATAATAGATACGTCACATTGATGTAATATTACGTTATGGACGTGGCCACACTGTGACGAGGACTTCCCGTTGTGTCACGGAGAGAAAATATATATATATATTTATTACACTTTAATTTAGTATAAACTATATCAAAATTAAAAATGCATAATTCTAACTCTTAACCTATGTCATAAAAACGCCTGATATAATAAAAAGGAAAATAAGTATAATAAATTTGTTAGCATGTTAAAAGAAATGCTAATAAAATTAATGTTGTAATATATATATTAATACACTATAACATCATTGTGCAAAGGTAATACAAACAAACAAATGAATATTATCACGATACAATTAAAGAAAAGATATTTTGAATAATTACTTGTTCAAACTAACTAGAAAGATGTACTTATATAATAGTTCGACAAATGGAATATATTCGTATATTCTTTCCAGGACTGAACAAGCATCGAATCAAATATAATAAAATAAAATAAAATATAAATTTTTTTCGGACTACTCGAAAGCTGTGAGCCATGGCTGGTCTTTACAGCTTCTCCAGACGATAGGGGGCGAGTGCGGATGGCACCCCAAACCCGCGGAAGGACTTATGGAGGATTGAAGGCCAACTCACGCCTTACGGATACGTCTGAAGGCACCGCTAGGCTCAGGCCGTCGAAATTTCGATCCTCGTTTTACGAATTGGACGGAGGATCTATCAGAGGGGTCTACGATACAAACATTCCGTTTGAGCTTAACAATCGCAAAAAATCTTAACAGCGCTTTTTAATTTTTCAGTAACACCATCTAGCGTCATAAAATATCAATATATACAAGCAATATATAGGTATACAAAATACATAGTTATACAGTATACATAGTTGATATTCCATCAGGTGGGCCCTGATGGAAAGTAAACTCTATACAAAAAAGTAAATCGTAAGTCATTCTAATTATCTTGATTCTTACTAGTAATAAAAGCAAAATTTTGCAAGTATGGATGTATTGATATTGATGGATGGTTTGTTATTACTCTTATTAGGTATGTTGTACTTTTTACGCAAAAAATACTGAACGGATTTTATTGTAATAATACTTTATGTATAGTGATATATCAGAATAACACATAGGCTATAAATATTACGCGTGCGAAACAGTAGGCTCAGCTAGTATTTTATAAAAAATGACAAATACAGTCGCTTGTCTTTGAATTTGAATTTTGAATTTTGTTCCTATAACTATGACTTCATATGCAATTCTGTAATAAATTATATAACTATTATAAAAAATTATATTTATTTGAAACTCAAACGAATCCCCGTATAAATTTCCCGACCTCATCATCTTGTTTATTACTCTGATGTATAGAATCCATAACATTAGATTAAGAATACACCAAAATAATTCGAAATACGACGGTAGGTGTGGCCCTTGCCTCGAAATCATATATGTATTCTGCTTAGATTATAGATATATATATATATATATCAGCAATCAGGTAGGTATATATATAATCTAAGCAGATTTGGGAGGCAAGTCAAGTGATGATTTAATCATAAAGAATCAGAATGTTTCTGACCACCTCTTCTGCGTTTTTTTTCCCCACAGATTGATGGAACGTGCTCTTATCGATTTGTTTTCTTTATTTCATTATATTACGCTTTTTCCTTGTAAATGTTTACAGTTTTTAATAAATTTATCTGTCTATATTCCGAAAGTCAGATTCTTAATCTACGATACATACAAAATATTACTCTACAATCACTATAAATTAGAACTTCTGCAGCTAAGATCAGCGTAATTTTTGATCAATGTAATAAATTAAAGCCTTTAGTCTATAATCACAGGACAATATTCGGACTTGACGACCTCGGTGGTCTAGCGGTCTAGCATACCGCTTTACGACCGATGGTCGCGGGTTCGATTCCTCGCACGTGCAAACATATGTATTCATGAGTAACGGTGGGTGTTTTCTATGTATAATATGTATGTATTTACGAAACAAAATATCTATGTATGTGTACTCTATGTATATGTACCAGTTATCTAGTACTCATAACACAAGCTTTAGCTAGATTAACTTGGGTCTAGATGGCTATGTGTGAATTGTCCTGAGATTATTATTATTATTAATACTCACTCCGCCATGTAGACCCAATTTAATCTAGCTTGTGTTATGGCTACTAGATAAACAGCATAGATAGACATATATTTTTTTTTTAAATACATATATATTATACGTAGAAAACACAAAGACCGATACAAACATTCATACTCATGAATATGATGTTTGTGCCGTGCGAGGAAACGAACTCGCGACCATTGGAAGTAAGGCAGTGTGCTAAACCACTAGACGATCGAAAAGCCTCCTATAGTAAATTATATATAGTATAATAAATCCTTCATTCTAGGATTGTGATCACGAAGGAGCAAATATATACTATACTATACTATACTTAAACTCCTCGGATTAACATTACGTTAGGTACGTTATGTATAGGTATAATTTTTTTATATAATAGTGTATTATATAATGTCTGGCCTTGGGAACTTCTTTGGTTTTTTTGCATAGAAAATGAGTAAATATCTTCTTGACATTTCAATGGGAGTGAAAACGCCTAACTGTAATTACCACAAAATGATATTTCTACAAAATTTTACGACAGCCTCTAATATTACTTCATCAATACGTGCATTTCATAACTTTGTATATTATATAAAAAATAATTTTATGCACACTTTTCAGGAAAAGTACTGAATACTCAACTTGGAAAGTGTTACTTAAAAAAATATTGAAATGCACAGTTAATATGCAGTTACGTAAATAGTATTGTTTCTTTTGTTTTCAAATTAACTAGCTTGTGTCTACAAGTACATATTAACATTGTTTAATTAATTTTAATGACTTTTTATTATATATTGTTATAAAAAATAAGCCTAAGCAGAGACTGCTTAATACTAACATTAGATGTAACTTTTAAGTTTTTCATTGATGAATATATTAAATAAGAAAAGGTGCACTCGACTATGCTAACGTTATTCACTGGCGGAGCATGACAGGATGAGCATGTGAAATCGACAGGATACATATAAAACCAATTTAAAAAGTTAAATAAGTTTTTTACATTATCAGCAAGTACTTAGGCTATTTTTAATTATACCATAAATAAGATACAAAAATTGCATCCGTATAAGGCTAGTGCAAATTACTTTTACAGTTTTATTTTTTATGCGACATTAGAAAAACAAGATGAGATATTACAAATACAAAAAGCGTATACTGTGATATCCAGCATTATGTTTCAACTAATCACTTAATTAATTTCGGTGCAGGAAGTTTGTCTATTTATTGCATAATACTTATCCAACCGTTTCGTTGCTAGTGCAAAAGAAGACTCCGTGAAAGGTACGCGGTCTAATCGACCTGACACTTTTAGTCTAACATCCAATTTTGTTACAACACCGTTCCGATGTATCGATTTTACGTAATTCTCCGGTGTATATTAGTAACAATGTAGGTTAGTGGGTATATAATTGATTCATAATATCGGATAAGGGTAATGAAAACAAATTTAGAGACGGTCATGATTATAAAACGAGATAATCTTCAGAATACAGATGCAATCTAAAAGCCATATAATTTAATGGAACTTAACATCGTTTAAAGTTATAATATATACCTAAAGAATAGAATATTATTATTTTTATTCTTACTACTTTTGTTTGATCCACTTTTACTTAATTAAATAGATAATAAGTACCTTCATTACTAATCATTCATATACAAACACTTTAGAATTTTGTCACTGTAACAATACAGTAATTTCCAATATTTTATAATAATTCAATGAAATCTTGCGACAATGTTATTACAATGTCTATATTTTTGGTGCCCCTGACTGCATCAAAACTATGAAAAGATCAATAATTTATTAACGAATTCTTCGTGTCAAGAAATTGACCGATTTTCAGTAATGTGACACTTAGGCCTGTAATAAAGCACAAGTTGGTATACTTTCACCGTAATACTATCATAATTTTACGTACCTACCAAATTTCGTTTTCATAACTCAGAAATCTTAGGAACTTATTCAAAAGTATCAAGCATCATACAATTTTTAAATTGTGTAAATATGAATTTATACAATGAATTTATTTTTTTAGAATGTGAAACAAACATCTCTAAAATACATAGAAACATATATTTTACCTCTGCAGAGTCGTGTATATTTGCATTTTTATGAGGGATATATGTTTATGTACATATATTGACCTTATAAATTTTGTCTCTGCAGAGGTAAGAAAAAACAAAATAGTATTTTGGTCATTTAAAAAAAAAATCCGGCTGTATAATATAATAATACTATTAATTTGCTATCATAACACATATGCAGCTATAAATATTACATGAATCAACGTTGTTGAAAATAAATTTAATAAATATTTTTCTCAACTTCATTCTAGGTCACAAGGTGTACCAGTCTATACCCATATACTTTGCAGGATAGGTATTATACCCATAAAAACGCCTATACTCTTACAACTAATACAGACACGAACAGTAGCTACAAAATCAACTAACCATTGTTTAAGTAAGAATTAGCTAATAGCAGATTCTGCACACAACACTATAGAATTATGAATTACTATTAAATTAGACTGACGTACTTACTTCATGACTAAGATACCAAAACTTTTTGAGACAGGCCGAGATAAACTGAATGGGGTGCACGCTGGAGTATTGTTACTGACGCCTCTGGGTGATGCTGAACCAAGCCAGACCCAAGAAACTCCGAACATCGGACACACGCCGCTGGAGCCTCCACCTTCAATTCTTCATACAGTTTATAGCGCAATCAAAAACGTTTTCTCGTCTGCTGCACCAGAGTACGCAGCGAATGACGATTCCCTTGTCCATCATCCCCCACCACCGCCTCCACCCGTTCCCCCATTCAAACCTATGACGTGGGGAGCAGTCAATTCATATGGCGAGCCAGCAATGGCCGACGCATACTCTGATTACGATCCTCGAAACCCCCACCCGCCTTTCGAATACGCAGCTTCTAAAAAGTCAATCACAGCCCACACAGCTCATAAAGTTCAACAAGGTTTAACACCTGATAAGATCCAGAAAATCAGACGGAATCTAAATAAATTGGCTATGTACATGAATAATAATATTCAGAGGTCTTCCGAAGACCTTCCCACTTTCACAGGGTTAGAAAAATATAAGGAAATGCTGAAAAAAGGCGAACTGCCGTTGTTTCCCACTCCTGTAGTTACTGATAATGAAATTGGCGTGCTGCCAGCCGACGTCCTACCCTCCGATATTCCTACCACTACTAGTAGTACCACTACCAGCACTACCACAAGTACAACAACCGTAAAAACTACAGCAAAATCTAATACGACAACGAGAAGAAAAGACGCTAAATACTATCTTCGCGGAAACAGGATTGTTCAAGTTTGATATCGACTGACCGATGACTGACTGAAGGTAGGTTGACGTATAATGACATGACTGGCGCTTATATTTTTTGGAAATACCATACTATTTCACTATTCGTTTTTTTATTATAAACGATAAGTGAGAAACTTCATTTGCAAATGGTATTAAATACGGGTGACTGACTAAAAAGACTGGAACTGCACAGAACTAACACTCAACATGTATATAGTTCTTCACCATAAATATGTATACATTTATACATCTAAAAAATTCTTCTAAGCTATTTAATTTATTATTGCATGATGTAGAAATTAAATAACTTTATGTAGTTCTACCCTACCTTTAGACAATATCACCTAAATATATACTGTATTTAAAACATGTATTCTCTACTGTATATAGCGTATTTTGATTGTATTTATTATTTAATATATATATTAAGCTTCATTCATAAATCTACATTCATAAAGAATTGATTCATTTTCTTTACCTAAGAAAGTTATTCAAATCTTTATAAAAAAAAATTATTTATAATAAAATAAAATATTTATTGTACAAAAAATATAAATATGCATTTAGTATATAGTATAATTAAAATAATATTTTTAAAGTTATATTACAATCACTTACTAGTAATCACTGCACAAATAAAAAGTCGACGATAAAAACACGTGGGTTTCGCAAATATATAAAAAAAATATTTTTTAATTATTTACGTTTCTATATTTCAGAGATTCCTGTATACGGCACCGTATTGGGCTCAGAAGATTTGCAACACTATAACGTATAGAATAGAGCATAGAATATCCTGCCGTCTACCCAGTGAAGAAATAGAAGAATCACGTGAAAAGTATAGATAAAAACTTTATTTATAGTTTTGTGTTGACAGTTTGAATTGCTAAATGTTAATTCAAACTTTCTGATTATAAAACTTTTGTTTGAAATTGACAGCTACTAGTAAATTTTTAGATAATTTTTTATACTGAATTTTCGATATGTAAAGACAGATAAACAGCATAGGTACCTACTTTTTCAATTTTTATAGTCTGTAGATACGTTTTGTAATTTATGATATAATTTACAACCAAAAACTTTATATAAAGCTTATGCTTCATGATTTTGGTAACTTTGAATGATTGTTGTTGTGAAAATTATGGTTGAATAAAGTTTAAAGCGCTGTTTTGAATCTAATTGATGAAACTTAACCAATTAAGGAATGTTATGTTGTAACTTTAAACGTTTTACTGTAAATATGTATAAGAAAGACTGAAAAAATTAGAAATCAAAACAGTCAACGCGCGAAGAAATTTATTTGAATAAAAAATACGCATTAATTTACTTTAATGTTCATTTGAATTGAATTATTTATTTTGTATAATAATAGGTACATTGTTGAAATTTATTTCCAATAAAAACCTGTTCTGATATATTTTACATTAGTATTATTATGTATAGGTGAAACAAATACATATTTAATAATAATAAAGTAATATTATTTTTATACTATTCAAGAAAATGTATTAGTAGCAAGGAGTTGTTATATTTATTAAATATACATAAAAATACTGTTCATGTACAGCTAAATAAAAAAAAATACCAATCCCAAACTGATAATACAAAATAGTAAATTAAAATATTTAAGCAAATAATTATAACTAAAATATTATAAATAAAAATATTATGATGTGTAAATTGTATGATCATGACAAACCAAATTTTATGAATTAATATTACCTGTAAATATTGCTTATATTATTTATATATTTTATACATTGTATTATATTTTTGTACTATCGAAATTTTGTAAATAAAATCTGTGAAATGGTTTAAAAATTAATAAAATATCACTATTAAGAAAAATACGTTTAATTTTAGTAAACTATATACAATGAATATAATAATAATTACCCTGGACACACAACGCTATCTAGTTCCAAGCTAAACAGAACTTGTATTATGGGCGCTAGATAATTGATAGATATACTTAAATATTTTTTTGTAATATACATAGACAAACATCCAGACCAAAATAAACAATCGTCCTCAAGAATACAAATGTCTGTACGGTGCCAGAAATCAAACCCGCGACCATCGGTATTAAGGCAGTGTGTTAAACCGCTAAACCACCGCGACCGACATGGTCATGAAGATATCCTTGTCCTCCTCCATTCCTCGTCCGTAAGACGTAGCATTCTTTTGTAAATGATAATGTTGTGATACAACCGCCTGTGGTAATAGTAAACGGTGGCGGGGCTCCAGTGACAAAGGATAAGATGAAATTAGGCCAGCTAGCTCATCGTAGCAAATTAACCAGGAAGTAACCACGATAGTGGTCAAACTGCTAGAGTATTTGCTACTAGCTCCCACTACTAACAATCCTTCTCCCTGCTCTGTAAAACGTAGCTGGAATCGGCTTTGAACCACTGAACCACCATATAAATATATATATATATATGTGTAACTATATAGTTAATGGATATGTTATAGATTAATGAATTACGACAAATTAATTCTGAATTAAATTCTGAATAAAAAAATATGAATTTAATTTCAAACCGTATTATTGAAGTATGATAATAAATTTAATTTGTAATGATACTGAGTCTATATATTACCTATATGAATAAATGCATTTTAGCTAACTCTTGCGAATTAAAAGTAGGACTGTTGCATTATGTAGATAGTTTCGATAGACAAATCGCCTGTTAAATATGAATAGCAATCACGCACTAACTCTATATCACTCTTGATTTTAGACAGTAGTGAGTGTACTTACTAGCTTCGAATTTTATCTAATATTACTTGTATTGCACAAATTAAGCGTCTGATAATATCTAAATTAAATCATATTATTAGAGCTTCTACATTGTTAGTCTGACACCCAGTAATAAATTATCAAATAAGCTTACTTAATCGTATACGTTACATTTTGAAAGTAAATTTTTATACAAGACTTTTTGTACTTGTGGATATTTTTGCTTTGTATTTAATTTAGCTTTTATACCTTTATGAAGTTATCTAAATTCCCAAATATACTTAACTAAAACGTAATAAAAACTGAATTTCATTAAAGGAAAGCTATGGACATGGAATAGAAAACTTAGTTTTACCTTTGAAAGTGAAACTGACCACCCTGATGAGAAAATAGTATCTGTCTCGTAACAACATGAACATTGAACACCATTGACATTATGTACAACATTCAAGTCATACATACAACTCCGTATATTAGGTATATAAAGATCAACTCAAACTTGATAAGGATGTGGGTATTGTCATATATAGGTACAATTAAATAAATAACGCATTAATCTATTTTCTTACTAACAAAGTATATTTGACTGAAAAAAATATTTATTAAAAAATATTGCGATTTAAATATGTATTATTTAATACTTTATTACTGAGAAATATAAAAAATAAAACGTTTCATCGTAAAGAACTGAATAAAGTGAGGTTATTATTTATATTTATTATTGCATAAAAGTGCAATATAATTTTATATTAAATAATCAGAGGGGCCGCGTGCTAAATTTCAGGTTAATCGATTAAAAGAAATTTGTATAAAAATTATAAAAATGGTATACCGACTCGATGAAAAAGAACGTATCAAAACTATCACATAAATGCCATGAACTAGTCCAATACACCTGATCAGGCGCGAAGCTCTAACTAGAGATAGTTAGATCAGACCTCCCATGCGAGCGACCGGAGGTGAAGGGTTTTTTCTTTTTTATCTCAATTTATTATCTACTATAAAAAAAAAAATGCGCGATACATTTCGCAAACATAAAAATGTTATTCTAAGTATAAATAGAATAAATAAAAAAGGCCATAGATCTTTTGTTTGTGTTTGTAAATAACAAACTAAGAAAAAACACATATCGGGTACACCACGGCGTCAGCACCTATCAATATCTCTGATTACTCCATCTGGTATTACAGTCTAGAGAGTACAGTATTGATTTATCTGTTTTACTAACAAGGTAAGTTAAATAAAAGCTTACAAAAACATATAATTGCGGAAGAAAATGCCTTCTAAGAAATGGCCACGAGCTACTTGACAGCGAAATCATGTCTGCAGCGCCCCAGAAAACCGCAAAATAGTAGAAAACTGTTCCATGATAAATGTAAACATAGTTTTTAAGAATGTAAATAGTTATTACAATGTTTTACACAAACCCAAATTAATAATCAATTTACACTAATATTATAATGTTTAAGAGTGTGTTTGTTTGGTTGAACGTGCTTATGTCAGGTAATGTTGGTTTCATTTGAAAAATCTTTGAGCTTTACATAGCCATTTATAATATTACATAAATGTACAAAAAATAGGAGCGAAACATCAATAAAAAATCTTACAAAGACAGACAATTTTTTTTGATCGCCCCGCTCTTTCGCTTTTGTGACACAGTCGAAGTTGCGTGGATCAGAAAATATTCATTGTACATATGACATAACAAACAAACAAAACTTTTCACTCTAGTACGAAAGGACGTAATGACGGACCACTAATTCGTGTTGTTAAATTACCTATATTGATAGAAATAGAAAATACAAGCGTTCATCATAACTTCTACATTTGATAATAACGCAAGAAAAAAGATTCAAGAACACGTAGATAGACGACATAAAAAAACGAAAATAAAGTTATCAGTTTCGCAAAACTGATCACGCTTTGACGGGTTTGTGAATCTGATTAAGATATATAAAAAAACCAAAGGTCATGTTTCAGGATACGGACTTCTTCATTAGAAGGGATTTTTCTTCAGAACCTACATTTTTGGGAAGACTCGGACATAACTTTTTTTTCAGTTATTTATTTATTTACATAGATTAACATTTACATATTTACTACAATACAATTTTTACTTCTGTTATCTGTAGTCCCCAAACTAGGTCAGACCTGTATCTTGTCGGGCTGGGAGCGCGGATACCAAAAATATACAGGGTGTGTAGACTTCAGTTAACTATTTTACATGGCAATACTGGGAATATTACCATTGCTTAATGTTGCCATC